GCAATCAAGAAATTGTATAATATAGAGGTAGTTTCCTAATCCATGGTCCATTAGGGGGTTAATATGTACAATGCATTAAAAAATGACGTTGAGGCTTAGTGACCAAACAGCAAATTGTAGCGAGTTGATTCTCTATAGAAAATATAGCCCAACTTTGCCATAAAACTCTCTTTCTGGTTATTCACTAAACTATGAATTACAATGCGATAAATATAGGCTAGACCAGCGGTTCCCAAACTGTTGTGACATGCACACAGGGGAGCCGCGGAATGTTTCCCTGGGGCTATAATTATAGCACCGGGGAAACATTACTGCTGACCAGGGGCCCAGTCAGGTGCCACGGTCCTTTAAGACCGCAACCGGACCCCTGTAATGGCAGCCTGTCACTTCCTCCCAGCAGCCGCAGCGGGAGGAGAGGAGCATGAAGAGCTCCAGACCCCTCACTCCCACCAGCAGCAGGACTCCAAACCACCCTCTTGACACATAAGGTAAGCTGACAGGAGGGTGGCTGAAGATAAAAAATAAACCACTTGTATGTGTGTGTTTGAGTATGAGTGTGTGTATGTGTGTATGAGTGTGAGAAGGTGTATGAGTGTGTGTGTGTGTGTATGTGTGTGTATGAGTGTGTGTGTGTGTGTGTGTATGTGTGTATGAGTGTGTGTTTGTATGAGTTTGAGTGTGTGAGTATGAGTGTAAGTGAGTTATCACGTGTCTCACCACCTTGTAGAGTCCACATATGTCATCTTTCATTTCCCCCGAGTGCAGCAACATTCCCAGTGTTTGCCTTTGTGGGATGTTTGCGAAGTGACAGGTTCAAATTGGTGACCTGCTCGCTACTGATTTACTGTACTCATGTCAATTTTTTAGCTCAGTAACTGCCCCTAGCTGACATTTACCCCAATCATGGCATACTGTTTGAAAATTTACACACTTGGGCTATATGCTACAGGCTATTTTAAGCTTGTTATGTCCCATTACAATGAGGGCACCAGATGTAATTTCTTCTTCCCACAAGTACAAAAGTACTTTAAGTATACATTTACCCAGGTTTTTGTGATGTTATAATGTCAAATTAAAGATACAGTCCAGTTTTGACAGCGGGAATTGCAGAGACCATGCTTACTTTGAGGCACTTTTAGAAGATCCAAATTCACATTAACTCTGTTATATATCTGTGGCTATTTCACTTATTTTAGGCTTTTCATATTTTCATTTTATTAGCAATATCTGCTGAAGGTAAACCCAATGTATGTTTCTGTGCTTTCATAGGATTTGAAAAAACAGGCAACCACATTTTTTTTATTTATTTTTTTTATTGGGGGGCTCTGTGCTTTTCATTTGCAATCTGTGGTGAAGCAGGCTGTCATGGTTCTGATCAGGTCAGACAAGAGACTTATGCCGGAGGTGATTTCAGGTAGTTTATTTGAGTTATTAGACATGGTTAGACAAAGGTAACAATAAGAGTAACAGGAGAAAGAGGGAAAAGGTATAATAAAGACAAAGGGAGAAAGCAGTTTAGGCAATATGCCCTGAAACAGGTTTACAGGAGGCGGGGAAATAATTAGATCAAACTAAAACAGGAATATAAAGGATAAAGTAAAAACAGGTTAAAGCAGCAATTGAGGTGATCAGCCTCTTTGGTTTGTAATCAGAACTGCAGTTTCAGGGTGTTGGAGGATACTTGCAAATAATAAGAATGTCGATAATATCCAGGTGGGTTGGGATGAAAACAAAGTACAGTATAGAAATAAAGGAGGCTCGTATTGGAGATCAGTTTGGAATAAATCAGGATGGTTGAAGGTAAGTAAGTGTGGAGCAGGTTTCCTTTAGAAAGAGCCAGGAGCAGAAGACATGTCAGGTTTCAGAACACAACTCCTCTCAATTTAAAGGCCTTGTGATGAGTTGGGTGTAGCCTTTTATAGCAGACTTGGATTATCATGCTAGGCAGGTGAGAGCGACTGAGGTGACTAGTGGCTAGGGAGGCCACTAGAGGCGAGAAACAAGTATTGCAGAAATAAAAATTAAAGGACCACTATATGCACCCAGACCACTTCAGCTTAATGAAGTGGTCTTGGTGCCAGGTCCAGCTAGGATTAACCCTTTCTTCTATAAACATAGCAGTTTCAAAGAAACTGCTGTGTATAATAGGGTTAATCCAGCCTCTAGTGGCTGTCTCATTGACAGCCGCTAGAGGAGCTTCCGCGCTTCTCACTGTGATTTTCACAGTGAGAAGACGCCTAGCATCCATAGGAAAGCATTGAGAATGCTTTCCTATGGACTGGCTGAATGTGCACGTGGCTCGTGCCGCGCATGCGCATTCAGCCGATGACGACAAGAAGGAGGAGGAGAGGAGGAGGAGAGGAGGAGGAGAGGAGGAGGAGAGTCCCCCGCCCGGCACTGGAAAAAGAGGTAAATTTAACCCCTTCCACCCCCTAGAGCCCGGTGGGAGTGGGGCCCTGAAGTATGTTTTCCTGGCACTATAGTGGTCCTTTAATAATATCTTGGTTGTCAGGATAGGATCTGGACACAGGCCTCCCAAAAGTGTTTATTTTTGGCAGCTCAGTCACTATTTTAGGGACCTTTCCCACTGTATCAACTTTGGCCTCAATTTAATAAGCTCTCCTAATCAGTTAATACTAGTATGTGTTAAAACGAATTTTCCACGTGTATTATCTACAGAAGTGACCATTAAAGTCTATGGGAATTATTTGAAACGTTTTATAATAAAACTGAAACATTTTGAAAACTTATTAAATTAAGGTATTTGTTCCCAGATGTCCTACTTTTGGGGACACTAGGGAACTGTCCCTAAAAAGTGTAGCACAAACCATCATTACACTGTAGTGATTATGATGCATGGAGTAACCTTTTAAAATGATGGATCAGGTTTTGGAAAAACTATGACCCTGATTTAATATTGTTGGATAAGATTTTCAAATGATTAAATATACTTGGATACACTTTTAAAATAATTTAATATAATGGAAAAATATTTGGATTTTGTAAAAAATATATATTTTGTATACACCAATATACATATACACTGAACAAAATTATAAACGCAACACTTTTGTTTTTGTCCCTGCATGTGCTGAACTCAAAGATCTAATACTTTTTTCATGTACACAAAAGGCCTATTTCTCTCAAGCATTGTTCACAAATCTGTCTAAAGCACTTCTCCTTTGCCGAGATAATCCATCCACCGCACAGGTGTGGCATATCAAGGTGCTGATTAGACAGCATGATTATTGCACAGGTGTGTCTTAAACTGGCCACAATAAAAGGCCACTCTAAAATGTGCAGTTTTACTGTATTGAGGGAGTCCAGGGGGGTCCGAAAACCAGTCAGTATCTGGTGTGACCACCATTTGCCTCACGCAGTGCAACACATCTTCGCATAGTGTTGATCAGGTTGTTAATTGTGGCCTGTGGAATGTTGGTCCACTCCTCTTCAATGGGTGAAAAGTTGCTGGATATTGGCAGGACCTGGAACATGCTGTCATATACGCCGATCCAGAGCATCCCAAACATGCTCAATGAGTGACATGTCCAGTGAGTATGCTGGCCATGCAAGAACTGGGATGTTTTCTGCTTCCAGGAATTGTGTACAGATCCTTGCAACATGGGGCCGTGCACTATCGTGCTGCAAGATAAGGTGATGGTAGTGGATGAATGGCATAGCAATGGGCCTCAGGATCTCGTCACAGTATCTCTGTTCATTCAAAATGTCATCAATAAAATGAACCTGTGTTCGTTGTCAATAACATGTGCCTGCCCATACCATAACCCCACCGTCACCATGGGCCACTCGATCCACCACGTTGACATCAGCAAACCACTCACCCACACGATGCCATACACGTCAGCCATCTGCCCTGTACAGTGAAAACTGGGATTCATCCGGGATTCTTCCCCTCTTTCAGCCCCTTTGCGTGTCTTTCTCTCGTTCCCCATCCCCTCTGTGTGCTTCTTCTCCCCAGCCCCTTTTGTGTATCTCTTTCGACCCTTCCTCACCCTTTCTTTGTCTCTTTCTACCCTCAGCCCCTCTGTATGAGTCTCTTTCTCCCCTACCCATCCCCTCTGTAGTTCTTTTCCCCCCAGCACCTTGTCTCTCTTCCACCCCTCCCCCCCCAGACCCTCTGTGTCTCTTTGTCTGCCTCCCAGCCCCTCTGTGTGTCACATCCCCCTAGCATATTGTCTCTTTCTCCCCTCAGCACCTCTGTGTCTCTTTGTGTCCCCCCAGATCATCTGGGTGCTTTCCCCTCCTTAGCCCATATGTTCTCTTTTGTCCCTTTTCCCAGTCCTGGTCTGTCAATTTTGCCGTTCCCCAGCCCCTGTGTGTCTCTTTGTCCCATCAGCACTTTGTCTCTTTCTCCCCACAGCCTCTCTGGCCACACTTATTTTAATTCTCTTTAAAACAGCCTAGAACATTTTTTTGCATTTATTGTGAGTGCCTCCACTGCTATTTAGAATACATTTGGGGCACCAACCCAATATCTGCTTTTTTAAAATAGAATTTGGCCTAAATATTTAACAATGCTTTTGCATGCCCTTTCTTATTGGTTTTTTGTTTAATGCGAAAACACACTCTTTGTAGAATTTTGCCACTCAACTCTATATCCTCTTTCTCACTTGTCCCATTCCAAAATACTTATTTCCTTTCCCACATCACAGCATTAGCATGCCTGATAATGTATCTGAATTGCTGTTGGTGAGGACAATATCTCGGTTCCCTGATGTGGAGAACCACCACAGAGAATCTAGGATGGTAAAACACTACCCTGAAGTAGGGACTGTTGCACTGGATCCGGGGCTGTTGGGAGATATGTTTCTGATTTCTGGAAGTTTTAGTTCAATTAACAACATTGATAAACAGAAAGCTGTAAACTGAACTGAAAGTCCCAGAAACATTTGCCCTGGGCAGAACTGAAGCTGTGCAGTGATTGGTTTAATTCCTGCTAATCACCCTCTATATAGACCAGGGGTCCTCAAACTCCGGCCCCCCAGATGTTGCTGAACTACAACTCCCATGATTCTCTAGCTATCTATGTAATTCAAAGAATCATGGGAGTTGTAGTTCAGCAACATCTGGGGGGGCCGGAGTTTGAGGACCTATGATATAGACATACATACACAAACACACACTTACTATATTTTTAAGCTTAAATCTTTTAAGCACAACAGTTCAGACTGAAAGGGTCAAACTCCTTCCTGGAGTAGGCAAACCTGAGGGCTAACAATATAATATGTGGAGATTTGCACCAAAAATACTTTAAACTTAGAATGCATTAATGCATTAATCATGACTAACTTAACCCCTTAAGGACGCAGCTTCAGAAGCTGGACATACCCTTAAGGACTCAAGCTATTTTTGCATTTTTTGCTGTTTGTGTTCAACTGCAATTTGCATCGCTCTCATTTATTGAATCAACACATATTATATATAGTTTTTTAAAGGACAAGATGGGCTTTACTTTGATGTGACTTATACATATATAAAATCTAATTTATTATTTAAAAAAAATGAAAAACTGAAAAAAAATATTTTTTTTCACAGTTTTGGCAATAATAGTGTGTGCATAATATGTCCAGCTTAGGAAAAGTAATTCAAAATAAATTCATTTAGGTGTCTTGTTTTTCAAAGTGCATAATATGTAAAGGATTTCAGCTTATTTGAAAGGTTACAGGTCACAAAATACAAGGAGTAATATAAAATTTTAATGTGAAAATATTTTAGAAGTACGTATGTTTGACTTGTAAGTTTAACAGAAAACAAAATTGCTACACAAAAGTATATATTTATATAAAGAAGACATCACAGGCTATTTATTTAAGGCTATTTTGACACTTTTTACATAGCCATTTTCCCACCAATCTCTGCTACATATTGTAGTAAAATTGTGTTTTTTCTGTTTTTTGAAATACACACATATAACAAGGTTTTTTAAATGTGTATTTTGTAAAGCTGCTGTGTGCTATTCCTGGTCAAAATCCCATTTTGTGTTCAGCTACATCTGCTGAGTACAACAATACCCCCATTGTATGTCTTTGCCACTATTTTGAGAAGCTACAATGACATATAAGAGGCCAGACTATTTCAGTTTCTACAGTTAGAAAATTCAAAGATGGATTTAATGGACCTATGTCTTATTTTGGGGCATTATAGTAGTTTGGTTGTTCAAATGACCACACAAAGGCCTTCCATTTGTGAAAGAAGACACTACATGGTATCTCATATGGCATACATTTAGCCTTAACGGGTCACCATTTTTTCACTATTATATGTCAAAATTTGTGTTAAAAAAATATTTTTCGCATTTTTTACTTAAGCATTATATTTGTGCTGGGCATTTTGTATATTTGATATGTTCCACTATGATCGAACACCCCTAATTATGCTCAGCTAAGTCTTCTGAGGAAAACAATACCCCCAATGTATGTCTTTGACACTATTTCTTGACGCTACAGTGCCATAAAGGAGACCTGACCATTTCAGTCTTTAGAGTAGAATTTTGAGAGATGGATTTGCAGGGCTTATGTTTCAATTTGGGCCATTATAGCAGTTTGACTGTTTCAATAACCGCAAAAAGGCCTACCATTTGTGAAAGTAGACACTCCAGGGTATCTCATATGGCATATATTGTGCCTTAACATGTCGCCATTTTTTCACCATTATATGTCAAAGTTTGTGGTAAAAAAATATTAGTATTTCGAAAGGCCCATTATGAACCTTTTTTTCGCTAGTGAGTACCAAGTCTAGTAGTAGTAAGCATTTTCTCGGCCTTTTTGACACACACTTTGAGATTTGACTGCATAGTTTACAATCCTTAGGTGTGCTAAGGCAGTATAACGCTTCATATGTCACTCAGCTATGCCGTCTGAGTACAGCAATACCCCCGTATGTACCTTTCCCAGGTATATGTGGATGTTGAAGGGGCAAATTTGACACTCGGTTTGTTTCAAGCTTTGAATTTTCATGCTGGGTCCATGTCCCATTTTTGGGTCGAGCTCTGAGGCACTGTCTGTCACCTCTGAATCCGCTGTCATAATTCTCTAACTGTGCTTCCTAAGCATTTTGAACTTTTTACACAAGAACTTTAACAAAACAATGTTATAATAATGTTATTTTATTTTTTTGTGGATTTTTTTATTTGTATTTTTACCCCTAGCATATGCACTAAACTCCCCAATTTCCCAGGAACTATCATCCACCCCAATTAACTAAATAAAAGTTAAAAAAAATATAAATATATAGTCAGTGGTCAAATAACAGAAGAACTACAACAAGAATATTAATTGTATTGAGAATTTATTGGCCCTGAGTATGTAATAATTTAAAACAGTTCCCAGTACAAAGGCCAGGCTGAGAGGGACAATCAGGGTAGTAGAAACTGGTCTCCGTTCGAATGCCTCTCTGGTAACACAGCCTGCACCTTTTCTGGGGGGTCTTTTTTGGGGGGTTGGTGGTATCCGAAAGCAGAAGTGACCTGTCCGAATATCTCTGCTGCTAGGCCCTGCTGATGGCTCCCCACTGTGGCACTCAGTGAGCAGCACAGAAATTAGCTGAAACTGAAATGTAAGAAAAGTACATTTCAGCTGAGGATTTGTCTTTTTGAAAAGGATGAATGCATTATGAGTAGCCATTTGCATTAAATAAATGCCCACTTTCTTATCCCAGGCCCTGGTCTTTCTCATTATCAGATATGGCTGCAGCAGTTGATCAGATAGGTCCACTCCCCCCATGTGTTTATTGTATTGCTTAATGCAGACAGGCAGCCATCTTGTTTCTTGTCTGCCACGAACTGCGAGCCTGTGTGTGTGTTCACTGTACATGGTAGTCAGTATGAACACCTCCTTTTTGTCTCTGTATTTCAGAGCCAGCAGTTCGTCCTGGCAGAGAGCAGCCATTTCCCCCTTTTAAAGCCAGTGCGTGTCTTGCGGATAGTGCCGCAGACCCCAGTCTCAAAACAATATAGCATTTTTTTGGGGGGGGGGTATGCTATTGTAATAATTATCAAGGTAGAGGTGGTACCCCTTGTTCAGTAGCGGATTCATTAGATCCCAAACTATTTTTCCCAACTACATCAGGGCAACCTGGGGGATCCTGGTGGCTATCTTTACCTTCATATACTCTGAAAGTATATGCCACTGCTACTTTCACATAACTTGGATAGCATGATGCCATACCGGGTTCTTTTGGCTGGGATGTATTGCTTGAACCCCAGTCTACCCTTGTATTTCATTAGGGACTCGTCAATACATATATTCTTTTGGGGAGTATAAATTATGCCAAATTCTTTATTAAAATGGTTAATTAGGGGTCGGATTTTATAAAGTTTGTCATACTGCGGATGATCTTTGGGGTGGCACTTCGAATTATTATTGAAGTGCAGAAAGCGCAGTACTGATTCGTATCTGGGCCTACTCATGGTCTGAGAGAAAATGGGAGTATTGCATACTGGGTTTTTGGACCAGTACATTCGGATGCTGGGCATTTTTATAATTCCCATTAGCATGGTTAGTGCCCAGAACTGTTTTAACTCTGGCACATTGGTGGGGTACGAGCTCCCTTTTGTGGCAAAGGGACTTGCTGCATTTTGTGCCAGATACTGCGCTGCATAAATATTTGTCTGTGTAACTATCTGCCCTAAAAAATCATCTCCAAGGAACAGCTCCATAAAATCCTGGGAGTTATAGCTGGTCACGTCTCCCTGAATACCAGGAGTCGCAGTGAAGAGAGGGATGTCGGGGACAAAATTGTTAGGGGGCACCCAGATATCAGTGCCAGGAGCAGTGCCATGGGTATCGTCACTTTCTTCATCTGTGTCTGGCACATAGTCACCCTCTGCACTCTCTGAGGCAGTGTCGGTTGCCTCTGATTCGGCTGCTAATATATGCCTCCTCGGCACTAAACCTCCTAAGCATGGTGAAAGCTTAAAATTAACTTTAACTAAATAACGTTTTTTTTTGGGGGGGGTTAACTTTTTTATACTTTTTTTGTTTTCTGAACTTCTTTTAATATTTTTTTTCACTTTTTTAAAACTCTTAAAAACTTTCTAAAACTTCTAAAAACTTTTTTTTAAAAATGAACCCCTGTGGATAAAAACAGAAATCAGATCACCGCTAAACACAGTGCCCACACCTCACTTATTTTTTAACTTTTATAATCTTTTACTAACTTTTTAAAACGTTTAATAACTTTCTAAAACTTTTAATAACTTTCTAAAACTTTTCAGCTTCCTAGCTACACTAATGCTAGACTCCCCAATTCCCCCTAGCTTCAATCCACCCCAGCTAACTAATTAACTGAAAAAAAATTAAAAAAAAATAAATAAAATAAATATATTTAACCCCTGAGGGTTAAAAAAAAAAACTCTGATCACAGTAAAGTACTGTGATCAGTATTGTGATCACTGCTGTCAGTGATCAAATGGTTAAACCCTTGTTAATTTTAAAAGGAATAGAAGTAAGGTTTTTTTTTAACTTTTAAACACTTTGTGTCTGTCAGGGACACAAAGTTTCAAACGTTCCGTCTCTCTCCACTTCTAATCACACACAGAGGTGGAGCGTGGAGGATCACAAGTCCCAGCTGCACTGTGATCGCTGTGACTGGTTGTCACAGCGATCACATGTGCTGGGACAGCGCTATTGGCTGTTGCTGGGCTTCCTCAAACGCCGAGGCACCCATTAACAACGTTAACCCCACGATCGCAGCAATTGCGACGATCTGGCGTTAACTTTAGTAATTGATGGAAGTTTTCCGTCAAGCGTCCTTAAGGGTAGGTCTGCCTTGACGGAAAATTTCCGTTAAGCGTCGTTAAGGAGTTAATTACAACCTATATTGCCTTTTTAAATAACATAGTTAAAATGTAGTTACATGGGATCAAGTATTCGCTTCCCAATATCTTTGCTAAATTAGTTCAGATAAAAGTTTTAGATTCATATATATGTAAGTATGTTTTTTGGGGGGCGGGTGGTTTAGGACCTTTCACACTTAGCGCTATCATTTTTAAATTTTAATATTAAATGTAATTTATAGTTTATCTGGCTGAGCGTCATATTTTATCTGCTTGAGCATAAAAGAAACATTGATG